ACGTTTCTATACTAGATCTAAGAAATAGTATACTTATCTAAATATTATATATCTAGGCCTAAGTAGAATTAAGCACGTAGTAAGATATAAATTATATATTAACTTACCTACGAAAATTTAGGTTTAAAATTAAAGTTTAAGAACTTTTTTCTCTTAGCTAGTAGGTAACTTAGCGCTTAAATTAGAGCTATAGGGAAATTAAGACTCTATAATATAAGAAAAGGTAGTATTACGTCTATTAGTTACTATTCCTATATAGTATTCTATACCTTTAACTCCTCTATAATCTTATAGTAAAACTTCTTAAGTAACTTACTAGTAAACTTCGCAGCTAGATATTATTATTTATAGATACGCCCCTAGATAATATTAAGAGAGAAGCCTACTATCTTAAAGTACTAAGTATCTCTTAGTGCTAGGCTGTACGTATTATAGTTACCTATAATACTCTACTATAGTAGTATATTTATTCTAGCTGCTAAGATAACGCGATGATTACTATAAGTCTAGACACTACTTAGTAGCTGCCTAGTAGAGACATAATATAGGTATATTAAGGTAGGGTATAACTACTTCTCTAACTAATAGTAGCACTAGAAGATATAGACTAGTAATAACTAAGTTTAATATTAAGTCTTACTAGATAGGAATAAGTTATAGCCTTAGTAGAGGGCTTATAAGTAACTTAAGTTAACGTAAGAAAGTAGCGGCGTAAAGGCAATATAGACAATAGCTATAGAGTAGGAGAAGAGAGATGTCTCTAGTCATGCGAGTGTTATAGCGCGTTATAAGGTAGTAGGGCTTAAATTAAGGAAGGCGCATTCGTAGGCAGCTTAAGAATAGAAAGCGTATAGTAGGGCGTTAGTAGCGTAGAGTATAACTAGAAAGTAAGTTAGTAAGCAGCTATAGCACGCGCAGAAATAGTCTATATTAGTATTATACAACAGTAGTACGGCTTTTACTAACTGTATAAGGCCCTATGCAGAGAAGTCGCATAATAAAAAGGGTAAGTAAGTAAAGAGGCGTTCCCTAGATTATTAAATAGTGCTGGAAGTGCAAGTTGGTGGGTATAAGCTGAGATGCAAGTTGGTGGGTGTAGTTGGTGGGTGTAGTTGGTGGGTGTAAGTCGGCGGGTGCAAGTTGGTGGGTGTAAGCTGAGATG